TTTTTTTTTTGGGGATTTTATTCTTTTTGGGTACCCGCCTCGGTGGGGGATGGGCCCACTTGTTAAAAAAAAAAAAAATAATAATAATACAGTGGAACCTCAAATTTCAAACTTAATCCATTCCAGGAGCTAGTTCTGAAGTTGAAAAGTCTGAAAGGCGAAGCAATATTTCCCATAAGAAATAATGGAAATGCAACTAATCCATTCCAGAAACCCAAAATATTCACAAAAAAATACATTTTATAGATAGTATTACATTACAGTTTTACATACACACAACAAATATAGTGTACAATTATTAATAAATTTAAATAAACATACAAAATAACATTTTACTTACCTTTATTGAAGATGGTGATGGCATCTGGACGATACCCGTGTCCGACTAAACCTTTACAAAAATTCAATGTATGTCAAAGGCCCTAAAATCTGGAATACCCTACCTGAAAATTCTAAAACTGCAGACACATTCATCACCTTCAAAACTACCATCAGAAAACATCTTATCTCCCTGATACACCCTGTCAACTAATTACACGAATACCACCTGGTGGTTAACACTTACACTCACTCACCCATTTGACCATAAACAGAAATATCAATCTCAATCTCAAAATAATGAATCTTAACTAGTCATAAGTTGGCCTGTGATACTCCAATACTGAAACTATGTATAGTGCCAAAACAAAAGCATTCACATTGCTAAACTCACAAACTAGTATTTAGTCACTTAGCCATAATACCAACTTACCTCATAATTTTGTAATATTTTAATCTTGAGATTTAATTTAAGTCTGCCCAAAATGCCTAGCCATGCTAGGTGTTCTAGTGGTACACTCTGTAATTATTACTTTACTACATGTAAACAATACAATAACCAAATTCTGTAAACTCAGCATTGTAATCCTTATAGAGAATAAACTTTGAATTTGAATTTGATAGGGAGGAGGAGAGAGGGAGTTGGGGTTAGTGTTTGAAAGGGGAATCCCCCTCCATAAGGCCTTCAGGTATCAAAGCCCTCTCTGGAGTTACTTCCTTTCTCTGTCTTTTAATGCCACTAGGACCAGCTTGAGAGTCACTGGACCCCTGTCTCACAAAATAACTGACCACAGTCCTCTGTTTCTGGCACTTCTTTAAGATTTCCCTAAAATGGGACATGGCTCTGTAACTGAACTTGTTGCAAAGATGGCTTGTTTCACCTTGCTCAGGGTGGTATTCTCGACAAACATTTGGACATCATTCCACTTGGCGCATATCTCCTTAATCTTTGAATCAGCATGCAAGTCCCTTGCCTTTTCACAAATAATCGTCTCAGAAACACTATCACCTGCCATCTCTTTATCCTTGATCCACACCAGCAACAACTCCTCAACCTGATCGATTGTCTGTGGTCTTTTTCTGGTTAGCGTATCAACACCTTTTGCAATATCAGCTTCCTTGATTTGTTCTTTCTTTGCCAGGACAGAAGCGATTGTCAACTTGTTTTTCCCATACATCTTGGCAAGCTCAACAAGTTGCACACGACTCTCATACTTCTGTATTATTTCCTTCTTCACATATATGGTGTTTCACACTTTCTTTACCACAGAGGTACCACTAGCAAGTTTCTTTGGGCACATGGTAGATAATTTCACAGTCTCACAAGCACTAAACACAATGAATTAATCGTAAAATGTTTGAATGAGACCGCAGGTTAGTGTTCACTCAAGCATCAACAAAGCCAGGCTGGCTCAAGACGCCTGCGCGGGGACGCGGACAGAGCAGGTTGCCAAACAGGTCCGGTACCCAGCAGTTCGAAAGAAGGGGCGAGTTCGATAACAGGGACAAAGTTGGTTCGAAAAAGCTGTCGAAAGGCGAAGAGTTCAATAAGCGATAGGTTCGAAATTTGAGGTTCCACTGTAATATAATACTACTACTACTACTACTACTAATATTATTATTATTAATTTTTTTTTTCAACAAGTTGGCTGTCTCCCACCGAGGCAGGGTGATCCAAAAAGAAAGAAAATCCTCACAAAGAAAATACTTTCATCATCATTCAACACTTTCACCTCACTCACACATAATCACTGTTTTTGCAGAGGTGCCCAGAATACAAGTTTAGAAGTATATACGTATAAAAATACACAATATATCCCTCCAAACTGCCAATAACCCAAACCCCTCCTTTAGAGTGCAGGCATTGTACTTCCCATTTCTAGGACTCAAGTCCAGTTATAAAAAATAACCAGCTTCCCTGAATCCCTTCACTAAATATTACCCTGCTCACACTCCAACAGCTCGTCAGGTCCCAAACACCATTCATCTCCATTCACTCCTATCTAACACTCTCACGCACGCTTGATTATTATTATTATTATAACAATAGAGCCTCAGTTCCCTAAATTAACAATAATAATAATAATAATAATAATAATAATGGGATATTGGCAGTTTGGAGGGATATATTGTGTATCTTTATATGTATATGCATCTAAACTGTTGTATTCTGAGCACCTCTGCAAAAAGTGATAATTTGTGAGTGTGGTGAAAGTGTTGAATGATGATGAAAAGCATTTTCTTTTTGGGGATTTTCTTTCTTTTTTGGGTCACCCTGCCTCAGTGGGAGACAGCCGACTTGTTGAAAAAACAAAATGTAATAAAAACTCAAAATGCTGCCGCTAGTGGCACAAAACCATCTGGTAAGCAATACACGTTTACATCGCTGTGGGAGCAGTTCTCTCGTGCTTGTTTGCATTTTTTTTAGTCATTTGGACAAATTTCTTTTTTCTAACCATGGGTCCTAAGAAAATAAGTGCTGAGAAGAAAAAAACGATGATTTCCATGGACTTAACCAGGCAATACAACATACGCTGCACCCTCAACATCCCCCACCCTCAACATTCCTCATCCTCAGCAACCCCCACCCTCAACATCTTCCACCCTCAACATCCCCCACCCTCAGCATTCCCCATCCTCAACATCTCTCACCCTCAACCTCCCCCACCCTCAACATCCCCCACGCTCAACATCCCCCACCATCTCTGCTCCAAGTGTGTTTACCTAGAAAGGGTTCCGGGGGTCAACGCCCCTGCAGCCCAGTCTGAGACCAGGTCTTATGGTGGATCAGGATCTAATCAACCAGGCTGTTACTGCTGGAGACATGCAAGCTGACATACGAACCACGGCCTGCTTGGTCAGGTACTAACTTTAGGTGCCTGTCCAGTGCCTTCTTGAAGACAGACAGGGGCCTATTGGTAATCCCCCTTATGTATGCTAGGAGGCAACTAAACAGTCTTTGGCCCCGGACACTTATTGTGTTGTCTCTCAGTGCACTTGTGGCGCCCCTGCTTTTCATTGGGGGAATGTTGCATCTCCTGCCATGTCTTTTGCTTTCACAGGGAGTGATTTTTGTGTGCAGGATTCGTACCAATCCTTCCAGGACCTTCCAAGTGTATATTGTCATGTATCTCTCTCGCTTGTGTTCAAGGAAATACAGATCAAGGACCTTCAACCATTCCCAGAAGTTTAGGTTCCTTATCGTACTTATGTGTGCTGTGAAAGTTCTTTCTACACTCTCCAGGTCTGCAATGTCGCCAGCCTTGAAGGGAGCCATTAGTGTTCAGCAGTATTCTAGCCTAGAGAGCACAAGCGATTTGAAGATAATCATCAAGGGCTTGGCATCCCTAGTTTTGAAGGTTCTCATTATTCATCCTATCATTTTTCTAGCTGATGAGGTAGATACATTGTTGTGGTCTTTGAAGGTGAGATCCTCTGACATTATCACTCCCAGGTCCATCACATTACTTTTCTGCTCTATTGTATGGTTAGAATTTGTGGTATACCCTGACACATTTTTAATTTCTTCAAGTTTCCCATATCTGAGTAGTTTAAATTTCTCCTCGTTGAACTTCATATTGTTTTGAGTGGCCCATTTGAAGATTTGGTTGATGTCCGCTTGGAGTCTCACGGTGTCTTCGATGGAGGTCACTGCCATGGTAATCCGGGTGTCATCCACAAAGGAAGACACAGAGCTACGGCTTACATCTCTATGTCAGAAATGAGGTTGAGGAATAGAATGGGAGTGAGTACTGTGCCTTGTGGAACAAAGTTTTTTACCGTGGCTGCCTGGGACTTAACTCTGTTTACTATTACTCTTTGTGTTCTATTTGTCAGGAAGTTGTAGATCCATCTACCAACTTTTCACGGTATTCCTTTATCACGCATTTTGTGTGCTATTACACCATAGTCACACTTGTTGAAACCTTTTGCAAAGTTTGTGTATACATCTGTATTTTGCTTATCCTTTACACCATCCAGGACCTTGTCACAGTAGTCCAGTAGCTGGGACAGACAGGAGCGACCTGCTCTAAACCCGTGTTGCCCTGGGTTGTGTAATTGATGGGTATCTAGGTGGTTGGCTATCTTGCTTCTTAGAACCCTCTCAAAGATTTTTAGGATATGGGATGTTGGAGCTATCGGTCTATAGTTCTTTGCAATTGCTTTACTGCCACCTTTGTACATATACACTTTATATAAACTGTTTTTAAACGATATTTCTTATTTATAAAAGCTATGTTTCAGCATTTTCCTTAGAAAACTAGTGATCTACTGAGATTAACTTAAAAAATACTCTGTTTTCTCTTACAGTAAGAGCATGGGAAGATACTATAGTCAAATTGGGACAGAAATTACAGCAGCTTCTGCCACTGCCTATGCCACCATATTATGACCTATTTTATTCATTCTAGAGTATATATCATGTTTCTGTGTTAATTGTATTGTTTGTTATGTCATATTGGATGAATTGTGATAGATAAATAAGCTGTATAGTTGATAATAGCGTCATATTCAAGTATTTTTTCTCATCTCTCCAGAGTGCAGAAATGGATTAATGGGTTTTCAATTAATTTAAATGAGGAAAATTAATTTGATAAGAGTAAATTGAGTTATACGAGCTAGCTCCTGGAATGGATTAAACTTGTAAGTCAAGGTTCCACTGTATATAAAAGATATTGTACCTTATTCTTCCACATCTCTCCTTTGGCACTATTTGGTGAAGTATTAAACGAACTACTGGATGATGGTCCTCCACTCATGGGAGTTTTGACAGGTGTGGAGGTTCCTGAGTTTCCATTCTTCTTACTGCTGTCATCATCATCTGTCTTATCATTACCATCAGAGGCTAGTGCTTCGAAGTCTAAACATTCTCTTGAATTCTTGTACAGCTCCTGTAAAGATAATGAAAGAAAAAGAGTATTACATCAAATTAATCAAGAATTAAACACAATAAACAAAGCTCAGCAGTAATCCTAATTTCCATTACTACTTTGTAAGATATATACATGTGTTAAGGAAGAAAGTTGAAAGTGAACATAGATAAGAGTAAGGTGATGAGGGTATCAAACAATGTAGATAAAGAAAAACTGGATATCATATTGGAAGGAGGGAGGGAGGGGGTATGGTTAGTTGTTTAATACGTTTATTATGCACCCCATACCCCTCCTGTGGGTGGTATCAAAATACAACAGAGGTGCATAATGGGTCCAGGGACTGGACCCCAAAGTTATGATAGATGAACTAGTAACAAAGGTAATGAACTCCAGGTAGATCTGGTCACAATCATGGCAAGTTACAAACATAATGAATCATCTACACTCCTATACATGGTTACAATCATGAACAAATTACAAAGTAATGAGCCATTTACACATCCATATCCGGTTACAACTGTAATGAGTTATAAGTACAAATATTAAGTGGGCCATACACCCACATGAGCACGAATGCACACATGAGGGCACGTGCACAGACACAGACACACATGCATATACATATGCACACACACATACAGTGGACCCCCGCATACCGATTTTAATCCGTGCAAGAGGGGTCATTGTTATGCGAAATAATCAGTATGCGAATGAATTTTCCCCATAAGAAATAATGGAAATCAAATTAATCCGTGCAAGACACCCAAAAGTATGAAAAAAAAATTTTTACCACATGAAATATACATTTTCCTACACACAAAGAGAAGGATACATGCACAATAGTAGAGTAGTACATGCACAGTATATATTGTGCATGTACTAGTCTACTAAATGAAGAATAAATGACACTTACCTTAATTGAAGATGCAGCAATGACTGATGAGACACTGTGTCCTGGGGGTGCCTTTTCCTCCCGAGTACTGTAGGTCCTGTTTGGCATTTTCTTCCAGAACAGGCCTTATCACACTGTGTATGCCACTACGATTCTTAAATCTCTCAAACCAACCTTTGCTGGCTTTAAATTCACCAATATGAGCACTAGTTCCAGGCATTTTTCCCTGTTCACCTGGGGGTTAGCCGACTTGTGTGGGTTGCATCCTGGGAGACAAGATTTAAAGGGCCCCAATGGAAATAAGTTAGACAGTCTTCGATGACACTGACTTTTTTGGTTATCCTGGGTGGCAAATCCTCTGGGGGTTAAATTTTTTCTTGGTATTCTCAATAAGCCACACCAACACGGTGCTACAGCGCAGCAGCAGGGTGACGGTGGTACAGCAGCAACAGATGATGCTACAGCAGCAGCAGACGATGCTACAGCAGCAGCAGACGATGCACAGCAACAGCAGCAGCTGACGGTGGTACAGCAGCAACAGACGATGCTACAGCAGCAGGGAGACAAAGCTACAGTAGCACAGACGATGCTACAGCAACAGCAGCAGCTGCGGTGGTACAGCAGCAACAGACGATGCTACAGCAGCAGCAGCAGCTGACGGTGGTTACAGCAGCAACAGACGATGCTACAAGCAGCAGCAGACAATGCTACAGCAGCAACAGACGATGTTACGCCCAGCAACGATGCTACAGCGCAGCGCAGCGACGATGCACAGCAGCAGCAGAGATGCTACAGCAGACCCAAAGCTGATGGTGGTACAGCAGCAACAGCGATGCTACAGCACAGAGCGTGTACACCCGCAACTACGATGTTACAGCACAGCAGACGATGTCACAGCAGCAGCAGCTGAGGGGGTTACACCCGCAACAGACGATGCAAGCAGCAACAGACGATGCTACGCAGCAACGACGATGTTACAGCAGCAGCAGACGATGCTACAGCAGCAGCAAGCTGAAGTGCAGCAGCAGCGAGCGCTGTACCTCAATAGTACGATGGTTGATTGGGGTTTTATTATACAACCTGCCAGCTGGAGACACCACTCCACTTTATACTTATCAATGATCTTTTTCTTCATCTCTATTGTAATTCTCCCCTTTATTGCTGTGGGTTGGGGCACTAGAAGCTTTCTTGGGGCCCAGGTCATTTTATTTTCCAGGAAAAGCACGAAAACACGTAATAATACAAAAAATTTTCCGATTGTATGCTTGGTTTTTTTACCGCGGAGGCGGGCGGGTAAACAATGCCCCCGCGGACATGTGAGGCTGGCTGAGGGCGCACATTGGACGCGTCTGGGGACGAAAATCGGTGAGGGGGGTTTTTTAAGGGGTATGCGGGCAAAATTTTTGGTTTAAAAGCAAGGGGGTAGCGGATTAATCGTTTGTGATGCCATCGGTATGGGGGGGCCCACGTACACAGTGTAATGCTTTATTTTACAGTAGCAAAGTCAGGGGTATTTTTCCAGAATGGTCTGAATATACCCCTGTGGATAAAAACTTTGCCATTTCTTAAAATTTTGAGCAAATTGTCTCTAAATTTTTTAATTTATCACACTCCATACATAATGACGCAGGGTGTATTGTGTTTATATTTTTTGTTTGGTCTACATTTGGGGAGGTATTTAACCTCCAAGATACATGTACTTGTAAACCCCCCGAGGGGGCGTAATGACATCAAAAGAGTCTGCTTATTTTGTTTGGTACACCATAAAATTGGGCCCCCCTGTATGATGGAGTGATGATAGAAGGACTGAGTGGTTCACTCTCCTAAGTCTTAAGCAATAAAATTAACTGAAATTCATTTTGTATTTTTGTTCTTTAAAATGCTAACTGACAACCCCAAAATTGTAATTTATCCCCCTTTGAAAGCACACAGCTTAGCCCAAATTTATCAGTTCTTCATACATCTGGGACCCAAAGGAGATGGAATCCAAGATGTGCACTCTGACCCATTCCACAATCCTAACATACTGTGTCTGGTTCTGACACAAGCATGCCACAAATTTTTACTTAATGAGTTTTAGGCATTTAAGGATGACAAGAATCGTTACAAAAGTTCAACCCAGTACATGGACACATTTGAGTGAAGGGGTGTGGCAAATAGTTCTGTTTGAAGGGTAGAGGCCAGTTATTGATGCATGCTCCAATTTTGTTGAGGGTCATCACTCTGTATGACAACAGCAGCACTACCAGCTGCACCAGTGGATTGGTGTACGGAACCATCAACATAAATAATTTGTTAAAGAGTGTTCTGTGTGACTAAGTTATCAACACAGCTTAAGGCATCCTGTTTGGCTCCACAACGAAGCTTTGGTTGTGATTTAAGAAGAGTTTTGGGGGGAAATGGAGGAATGGTAGTTTGGAATGGGGTAATATCGCATGGAGCGGGGAAGTGCCGCTGTTGCCTTACTTGACATAGATCATGTAGCTGGTTCATGCAGAGGTCGGTTCCAGTGTTTTCAATCCATCTGAACAGATGTTCACCAGTGCTGAGGAAAGTCTGGAGGGCTTCTGTTATTGGGTTTGAATGGGCTGGCCTAAGCATATTGACCCCAAAGAGGATATTTCTTTCAGTAACATGATCTCTGATGCTTGGAATATCAAGTTCTTTCCTTTCTTCTTTCTTTCAAAGTACCAGCCGTATCCCACCGAGGTGGGGTGGCCCAAAAAGAAAGACGAAAGTTTCTCCTTTCAAATTTAGTAATATATACAGGAGAAGGGGTTACTAGCCCCTTGCTCCTGGCATTTTAGTCACATCTTAAAACACGCATGGTTTATGGAGGAAGAATTCTGTTCCACTTCCCCATAGAGGTAAGAGGAAATAAACAAGAACAAGAAGTAGAAAAAAAATAGAAGAAAACGCACAGGGATGTGTATATATATGCTTGTACATGTATGTGTCCTAGGTAGTAGGTTGGTAGACAGCAACTGCCCAGGGAGGTACTACCGTCCTGCCAAGTGAGTGTAACACGAAAGCCTGTAATTGTTTTACATGATGGTAGGATTGCTGGTGTCCTTTTTTCTGTCTCATGAACATGCAAAATTTCAGGTACGTCTTGCTACTTCTACTTACACTCAGGTCACACTACACATACATGTACAAGCGTATATATACATACCCCTCTGGGTTTTCTTCGATTTTCTTTCTAGTTCTTGTTCTTGTTTATTTCCTCTTATCTCCATGGGGAAGTGGAACAGAATTCTTCCTCCGTAAGCCATGCGTGTTGTTAGAGGCGACTAAAATGCCGGGAGCAAGGGGCTAGTAACCCCTTCTCCTGTATATATTACTAAATTTGAAAGGAGAAACTTTGGTTTTTTCTTTTGGGCCACCCTGCCTCGGTGGGATACGGCCAGTGTGTTGAAAGAAAGAAAGAACATGTATGTGTAGTGTGACCTAAGTGTAAGTAGAAGTAGCAAGACGTACCTGAAATCTTGCATGTGTATGAGACAGAATAAAGACACCAGCAATCCTACCATCATGTAAAACAATTACAGGCTTCCAATTTACATTCACTTGGCAGGATGGTAGTACCTCCTTGAGTGGTTGCTGTCTACCAACCTACTACCTACACATTCGTTCTGCATTTTTTTTTTTCAACAAGTCGGCCGTCTCCCACTGAGGCAGGGTGACCCAAAAAGAAAGAAAATCCCCAAAAAGAGAATATGTAAAGTAAAAGGACACAAGTGCAACTAATGTGACATTTTATTGTGGCAACGTTTCGCTTGATAAAGCTCCTGGAGAGCGAAACGTTGCCACAATAAAATGTCACATTAGTTGCACTTGTGTCCTTTTACTTTACATATTGTCGGTAATTCTACCAACTTTATTACAAAAAGAGAATACTTTCATCATCATTCAACACTTTCACCTCACTTACACATAATCACTGTTTTTGCAGAGGTGCTCAGAATACAACAGTTTAGAAGCATATACAGTGGTCCCTCAATTATCGTCCTTAATCCATCCCTGGAAGTGGGACTATTATCGAAATGGATGACTTTCGAATCAATTTTCCCCATAAGAAATAATGTAAATGCAATTAATCCATTCCTGACACCCAGAAGTATTAAAACAAACAATTTTTTTACATGAAATATAGATGTAGTACATAAACAATACAATGGGAAATGATGAATGAAACATTAACAGCATAACACTTACCTTTATTGGTGATTCTTCTTTGTGTATGGAAGACTGAAGAAGGAGACAGATTAGATTATTTACTGTTTGGAAGGGGAATCCCCTTCCAGCAACACCTCAGGTACCAATTGCTTTTCTGGGGTTACTTCTCTTCTCTGCTTCTTAATGCCAATAGGACCACCTTGAGAGTCACTGGAGTCCTGTTTCGCAAAAAAAACTGTCCAGAGAGCTCTGTTTCTGGCGTCTCTTTAAAACTTCCCTAAAATGGGCCAAGACTCTGTCACTATACATGTTGCCAACATGGCTTGCAACATCCTTCTCTGGGTGATGTTTCTCCATAAATTTTTCCATCCTACCCCACATTTCAAAAATCTCCTTAATTTCTGAAGAAGGCACCTTCCTCCATCTCTCTTCCTCCTCCTCTGCAGCAAGATTCTGAGCTGCGATCTGTTGCTCTTCCTGCTGAAGCTCTTGCAGCTCCTCAGTGGTTAGCTCTTTGCTGTGGTCCTCCACCAACTTTTCCACATCCTCCAAACTCACATCCAGCCCCATGGAACTCCCCAGTGCGACAATAGAGTTCACAACTGACATAGGCTCATCATAGGGCTGCCTCAAACCCTTCAAAATCCCTCTTGTGGACACAATCTGGCCACAATTTTCTCCAAGCAGAGTTCAAAGTCCTGGTAGTCACTCCCTCCCAAGCCTTACCTATAAGGCTTACGCAACGGAGAATACTGAAGTGTTCTTTCCAAAAATCTTGTAGGGTCAAGTGAGTGTCTGAGGTCACATTCAAGCACCTTTCAAACATTGCTTTGGTGTAGAGTTTTTTAAAGTTTGAAATGACTTGCTGGTCCATGGGCTGGAGGAGAGGAGTGGTATTTGGGGGCAAGACCTTTACTGTGATGAACCCAAACTCCTTCAGAATTAGGTCATCCAAGTTTGGAGGATGAGCAGGTGCATTGTCCATTACTAGGAGGCACTTGAGATTCAATTTCTTTTCCAAGAGGTAATTCTTAACACTAGGGCCAAACACTTCATTGAACCACTCGACGAAAATGTCCCTCGTGACCCATGCCTTACTATTAGATCTCCAAAACACACACAATTTACTCTTCATAACATTGTTTTTCTTGAACACACTGGGATTTTCAGAATGGTACACTAGTAACGGCTTCACTTTGAAATCCCCACTAGCATTAGCACAGAACATTAGCATCAGCCTGTCTTTCATAGCCTTGCGTCCTGGCAGTGCCTTTTCTTCCTGAGTAATGTAGGTCCTCTTTGGCATTTTCTTCCAAAAGAGGCCTGTTTCATCACAATTGAACACTTGTTCAGGTTTCAGTCCTTCACTGTTTATGTACTCCTTGAATTCATGCACATATTTTTCAGCCACTTTGTTGTCAGAACTGGCAGCCTCACCATGCCTTACCACACTGTGTATGCCAGTACGCTTCTTAAATCTCTCAAACCAGCCTTTGCTGGCCTTAAATTCACTCACATCACCACTAGTTGCAGGCAATTTCTTTACCAAATCGTCATGCAACTGCCTAGCCTTTTCACAAATAAGCGACGTCATAAGACTATCTCCTGCTAATTGTTTCTCGTTTATCCACACCAATAATAGCTTCTCAACATCTTCGAGTACTGGTGATTGCATTTTTGTCAGCATATTTACCCCCTTTGCAACAACAGCGTCCTTGATTTCCTTTTTCTTGGCTATGATGGAAGATATGGTTGCACGGGATTTGTTATACATCCTGGCCAGTTCGCCCACACGTACGACACTATCATATTGTTCAATGATGTTTTTCTTAAATTCAATCATATTTCTCACCTTCTTTGCCAAAGGCTTGGCACTAGGAGCTTTCTTTGGAGCCATGGTAGCTTATTTAGCACTTGCAAGCAATAAAATCAATAAAATATTATGAAATATTTCGTTGGAGCAAGTGAGGGGACCATCGCTCACTGTGATAATAAGAAATGTACCGAATGTATGCTTAGATGCGACCACACTGGCTGGCTTGTAAACACTGGCACTAACGGGGCAGCTGAGGTCACATGTGGGACGCGTCCCGGACGAATCACCTAAGGCGAGTTTTTTATCATGAGGCAAGGCAAAATTTTTGCATTCAAATGCTTCTTATGGCGGATTTAACGTAACGCGATGCGTTCGTAAGGTGGGGGTCCACTGTATATGCTTGTACATGTGTGTAGTGTGACCTAAGTGCAAGTAGAAGTAGCAAGACGTACCTGAAATCTTGCATGTTTATGAAATAGAAAGAAGGACACCAGCAATCCTACCATCATGTAAAAACAATTACAGGCTTTCGTTTTACACTTACTTGGCAAGATGGTAGTACCTCCCTGGACAGTTGCTGTTTACCAACCTACTACCTATGCCTGATCAAGATATATCTAGGAATTCAACAAGTTAATTTATGAGAGTCACCAGAGTGAAGCAGACATACAGATCTTCAAAGCTTTGTACTACATCATACTCTGCCTGTCTCTGACCTCCATAAAATTCATATTAAAATTCAATATAGCAAAAACAAAAAGGGAAAGAATACAATGTGAAAAAGAAAAATGAGTTTAAAATACTACAAGTAATTAGCACCTACCTGTAATTCTGAAAGATTTGTGGCTTCTTTCCATGTCTTGTCATTACGTTCTCTAGTAACTCGTGGAAATCTAATGGAAATTCCATCTCCTGTGTGGATCTGATGACGCGTGAACTCTGCTCCAGTGATTTCCCAAACTGGCGCTTTCTGAAGATTAACATAACACGTTAAACCCACAACAATATGAAAAATTTAACCTTTTTCTAATTTTAAATCATCACATTTGTAAATACCAAAGATTATGAGCGAGATTACTTTTCAATCTTCCTATTTGGGCATTTATATAAACAAATTATTATTTTCATGGGGAAACATTAAACTTGTAGGGGTCATACAGCATTGGGGAATGGGAGGTAATTAGATTTATTCCAAACAAAGGGGAGTAGCTCCAATTCCTTGGAATAAGCAAACATCACTCAGTATAAAAGCACCTTTCCCCTGTGAAGGGGAAAATCCAGAGGCATCTATCTTAGACTGAAGAAACTGAGAAAGCAATTCTTCCTTTGTACAAAAGCTGAATCATTGTATATTTTCCTAATATCCAAATAAACCACTTCCTGGAATCTTAGTACTTTTAACTGCATTAAATCTATCACTATTAAATGTAACACATGTGCATGTATAATAGCTAAATAGGATTAAAACAGGATGACATGATAAGAAAGCTTGCATCATATATTTATTAACAAATGATGGTCATTAAAATACAAGCACAGAGGTTTACACTCTGATATTGTGTAAGGTAAAAAAGTTTACACAATATCGGACACTTTAAATTCTTTTATAACATGATCTCAGTTTATGAAGATTCAATTTAACTCTTATAACATATGATTCTGTATTGGAATAATACAGGTTAATTTCAGTACAGTGTTGATTAAGCACCTCATGCAGCATTTACATGCTATGTCCACATTCAAATGCAACAGCAGTTGAGGGTGGACATCGCTAAAATTAATTTTGCTCTTCATACAACTTAATCATAATTCAAGTATACAATACACAGTTTTGAACCAAGAGTGAGAGTGCTTGTGGTTGGGGATTTCAATGCTAAAGTGGGTAAAAATGTTGTGGAGGGAGTAGTAGGTAAATTTGGGGTGCCAGGGCAAATGAAAAAGGGAAGCCTTGAATCGAGCTATGTGTAGAAAGAGGTTTGGTAATAAGTAATACATATTTTATGAAAAAGAGAATAAATAAATATACAGGGTATGATATAGCATGTAATGAAAGTAGTTTGTTAGATTATGTATTGGTGGATAAAAGATTGATGGATAGGCTCCAGGATGTACGTGTTTATAGAGGGGCAACTGACATATCGGATCATTATTTAGTTGTAGCTACAGTTAGAGTAAGAGGGAGATAAGACAAGAGGAAAACAGCAACAACAAGTAAGAGAGAGTACAGTACTAAGGGAGGAGGAAGTTAGGATAAGATATAAGCAGCTATTGGCAGAAAAGCGGGCTAGTTCAAGTGTTATGCAGGGTTCTGCATGACACTGTAATGTTGTTATGCAGGGATCTGCATGACACTGTAATGTATATACAGGAGAGAAGGGTGTCATAATAGTATGAATGTTATAATTGTAAAGAATAATTTTATAAATCATAATGTGCATTTTGGGGTACTGTAAAGTACTCTAATGGTAATTATAAAGAAATCCTGCTAGGTATTTATTTTCCAACTGTGTTTGGGTATGCAGGGTAAGCGTGGCTTGGGCAGTCACATGGAGTCAGCATGGCATGGAGGCTGGCGTTGGAGATGCTGTGTATTTAAGCTAACTTTGTAGTTGTGTACTCCTTTTGTTTAGCTAACTCAAGCCATAGGCTCTTCTATGGCATACCTGTATGCTCACCCAGGCTCTGACATGGTCAGAGTGCTGTGGGGGGAGTGAGGAAATAAGAAATGGGGTTGGTAGTGGAGTAGTGACGGCCTGGCGCTGACTCGGCCTGGTGGTTATGGTGGCTGGACCTCCAGCCAGCTGTTTCTTGTGTACCGTCATTTGGGCATTTAGGATTAAAGTGTTTCTAGAGTGTGTAGTGTTATGTTGAATAAATAGATATATTTTCCTAACTAGGATTTTTGCCTAACCCTCTGTTAACCCTTTGACTGTCGCGGCCGTATATATACGTCTAACGAGGTACCGTGTTTGACGTATATATACTCATAAATTCTAGCAGCTTCAAATCAAGAAGGAGAAAGCTGGTAGGCCCACATGTGAGAGAATGGGTCTGTGTGGTCAGTGTGCACCACATAAAAAAAATCCTGGAGCACAGAGTGCATAATGAGAAAAAAAAATTCCGACCGTATTTTTTATTTAAAATGCCGATTTTGTGGTCTATTTTCGTATAGTATTTATGGTTGCATTCTCGTTTTCTTGCTCTCATTTGATAGAATGGAAAACATATTATAGAAAAAGAGATGATTTTGATTGATTTTACTATAAAAAAAATCTGGAAATGGAGCTCAAAGTAGGGGAAATGTTTGATTTTTGCCGATGTTCAACAGCAAACTAATGACATCTTTGTCCAATAAATGTCCAACTAGCCATTCTAATATGCAGTCATGAATGGGTTGATGTTATTTAAACAATTATTACAGTATTGGAGTAGTCTGTATAATAGTAAATTTTCTGTTTTTTGTTTGAATAAAAATTCAAAATAGAAAGCAAGAGTAATTTCAGAGGGGCCTGGACACATGACTGATGAACAAAGAAAATGTTATTTTAGAGCCAGGAATGTCTGCATTGTTCATTCTGGACCTTATTTTGAAATTGTCATATTTTTTAATTTTCATGAAATTGGTCAAATTGCAAATTTCTGACCACGTTATTGGGTAGTTGAAATTGGTAAATGGGCAGTTTCTTGTACTCAATCGATAGAAAAAATGGAGTTCTAAAGAAATAGCTATGAGATTGGTCGACTGAAACAAAGGAATTAGCCGAAAATAGGGCTCAAAGTGGGCGAAATTGCAGATTTGTAAATATCGCCAAGGTCGCTAACTTCGCGAGAGCATAATTCCGTCAGTTTTCCATCAAATTTTGTTTTTTTGGTGGCATTACAATTGGGAAAAGATTCTCTATCATTTCATAAGAAATTTTTTTTTTTTTTTTTTTTTAAATTTTGTGACACCAGGAGACACCTCAGGATTGGGGGTTGCAACAGTCAAGGGGTTAACCAACCCATTGAAGTAACACATTCTGGTTTACCGCTTTCTGTTTTGACTGGGATAGCCCTGGGTGGCCTGTTTATGCTTGAGATGTGTGTAACTTTTACCTCTGCCCTTAGACAAGGCTCTAGCCCCCAGATGTCCCACCTTTCTGCATAACATGGAGTCCTGTATATGGGAGAATTATCAAATTTTATGTGGTAATTCAAGTTTGCAACCTGGAAAATCAATAACCATTCTTTACTGGGTTGGTCAGAGGAAGCATTCACTATAACACTCACACTAAAATGATAATTTAACTTTGTGTGCAATATTGCTGATTTTTAACCCTTTCAGGGTCCGTCCCGTAGATCTACGGCTTTACGTTCAGGGTCCAAACCGTAGATCTACGCCATGAGCTCAGCTCACTCTGATAAACTGTGAGTGGTACATTTTGGCCTAGATATGAGAGAATACATCTATGTGGTATGTGTGCACCACATAAAACAGATCCTGCAGCACACTGTGTATAATGAGAGAAAAAAAATGAAATCATGATTTTTCGATTAAAACAGCAACTTTGCAGTGTTTTTTCGTATGTTTTTTATAGTTGTATTTGCGATTTCTTGGTCTCATTTGATAGAATGGAAGACATATTACAGAAATAGAGATGATTTTGATTGGTTTTAGCACTGGAAATGGCTTGAAACTGAGCTCAAAGTAGCAGAAATGTTAAATTTTTGCCGATATTCAAGAGTAAACAAACGCCCCTCACACGTCTAATACACACCAGCTGTGGGTCTAATATACATTCACAAATATGGTGATGATATTTATACAATTATTACGTATTGCATAACAGTAAATCTCTATTTTTTGGTGTGAATAAAAATTCATTATGTGAATAAAAATCAAAATGGAATTTATTTGAAAGCCTCAAACAAAAACTAATGAACAGAGGAAATGTTAGTTAGTGCCGGGAATGCCTACATTGTTCATTCTGGACCCTATTTTGAAATTGGAATATTTTGAACTTTGTGTTAAATTGGCCAAATTAACAATTTCCGATCACTTTATTTTGTAGTTGAAACAGTTGACTTGGCGATTCTTGTGCTCAATCGATAGAATAGAAGTAATACTAGTGAAATAGCTAAGAATTTGGTTGATTGGAATAATGTAATTGGCCTAAAATGGGAGTCAAAGTCGGCAAAATCGCCGATTCGTAAATATCGCTGACACATCAAAATTCGCGAGAGCATAATTTCGTCAATTTTCCACCAAATTTCGTACTTTTTGTTTTATTACCTTCACAAAAAGATTCTCTATGATTTCATAAGAAAAAATAAAAAAATTTTTTTTTGAAAATTCTTGGACACTGGTGCGTGACTCCAGATTTGGGCCTTGGACCCTGAAAGGGTTAAGGTGTTAATATTAACTAATACGCTGTGCATAATTTACCATTGAGTGCAATATTGCTGGTTTTAGGGTGTTATTATTAATTAATACTCTGTGAATAATTTACCTTTGTGTGCAATATTGCTGGTTTTAGGGTGTTATTATTAACCCTTTCAGGGTCCGTCCCGTAGATCTACGGCTGGTCGGTGAGTGTCCAAACCGTAGATCTACGCCAAAATTCTAGGGCCGTCAAATTTAGCGCGAAAGCGCTCATAGGCCTACATATGAGAGAATGGGTCTGCGCCATGGGTGTGCGCCGTAAACAAAAAATCTAGGCGCCTGCATAGCATTGTGGGAACGCCGGCTCAGTCACCCTTGTTCACCATGCCTCGTCGCAAGTCAGCTCTCACTCCCCGGAAAATTGGGACTCTCCTCTTCCTGTCTGATAGTTCTGACACTGATGGAAGTGGAAATGAAGACGAATTCTACGGCTTTGATAAGTTAGTGACCGAAAATAATGACCAGGATATCGATAATAGTGCCAAAAAACCCCGGCGTCCTCGACCTTCTACCTCTGGTGTGGGCACTCGTGACTACGGTCGGTTTTT